CACAAGCCATCCAGTTGATTCTTGCGAAGGGTCAAGTTCTTTTGGAAGAACGTTGTTAATTCTGCTCCATCCTTCACTGCGCCATCTTCAGTGGGAGCAGATTTTGGATCCTTCCTTGGGCGTGAACACCTCCATTGGGAGACATTGCTTCTTTGTATCAGGTATATCCTCCCTCCTACTCCTTTTGGTTCAGATCTGATTTAGTTCTTGATTCAAGATTGATCCTTGAAAATATGTTTTCTAAAATAGGGAATTCGATTCCCTGCAAAGATGGGAGAAATTTTTGAAATTCACCCTATCCATTCCGCAAGACTTGGGCGCCCATGTGATGGATATCCCATCCCTTCATGGAGGAATTGGGAAATAGTGGTAAAGAGTTTAGCTTCTAAGAAAATGTTCTCACTTCTCAGTTTGGTCACCATTTGAAGCATATTTTATAAAATTAAACTTTGATGGAAATTGTAATGGAAACTCAGGACCTTTTGGAATAGGGGGAGTATTCAGAAGCAAAGAGGGACATGTCACTGCTTTATTTTTGGGTCTAGCAGTAGTAGGAGACTCCATTAGATCAGAGTTTCATGCACTGTTACAAGGGGTACGGTTAGCAAGAGAACTGAACTTTGATAGATTGATTATTGAAGAGGATTTAAGCTGGTTATAGGTTGGTTAAAGGACTTGGGCTCAATAACATGGACTAGGGAAGAAATAAGAGATTCAAATGGCTTTTTAGTAATATTATTGAAAGGGTCCAATGGGAAATAAGATCAACAAATGCTTTGCAGACTTCCTCCCTAAACAAGGCATGAACAGGGATTCCTCACAACAAAGGATAAAGCAACTCATAGCAAGGGTACAGCGGAGGAACTCTCTGCTTAGAAGGATTGTGTTATCTTAAAGGTGAGGGCTGATGCTCTGTTTTAGGAGTTGAGGAGGCTGTAGAGGTTGATTGCAAATCAGAAGAGATGATTCAGGACGAGGAATATTCAGAAGCACAAGAGAATGAGGATGATCAGGTTATTGATAGCACGAGATCAGTGGAAATGAACATTAATCTGGCCAAAATTGTAGAAGAGGTCAGAATCAGTAAAATTATGGGGCTGTATTTTACTGGAGAGGAAGAGTTTGCGAGGAAAGCTTTTTTGGAGGTGGAGAGGGTGAGGAGGTTAAGCTTGGAATATTTTGGGGTTTAAGAGGAAGTGTTAAGTTGAGCTTGTGCTTTGAGGTTGGGATGGGATTTGTTGAAAGGTTGAAAGGGTGGAATTTTGGTTGGTTTTGTGGAGTTTGGTCTCAGATTTGATTGGCTTAATGATAAGGATATTAAGAAGATGCCTAAGTTTGTGGTTTTGTTTTCTTTTGGTCTTTTGTTGGGGAGGTGGCTGTTGTTCTTTTTTTTTTTGGTATTATTTGGGTTGTGGGTCTTTAGGGTTTATTTTGGAGTTGGTTCTTTTGTTTTTGTTTCTTTTTTTCCTGTGGTTCAATTTGGTGATCTCTCATCACCGGTTGATGTCTCCTTCTTATCTTTTAATTAGTTTTATTTTTTTATTTACCTTAAAAGAAAATAGGGATCACTTGTTTTGGGTTCAGTCATAATTTTATATTTGTGTGGGAGGATGCACTTCACACCTCTATTTGGGATTCTTGTCACTCTTGTACTATTTCTATTTCGAGATTTGATTAATAAAATTTCACAGGAATAAATAGTTGTACTGCCACCCCTCTCTCACATTTATAGTAAGGAATAAAAACAGGCACAATAACCAAGTACCCCTAGCCACCCATATATAAGAATAAAACTGGAACCAACAACTATATGTAAATAAGAACAGAAATAATAAATAAGGAATAAAACAATAATAAGGTCTAAATTAATTTATCAAAATATTCCAAATTACAATTGTTAAACTTTACGCAATTATGTTTTCCGATTGTAGCCACTTTGCCAAAGGTAAGGTAAGTATCATGTCTACCCCTCCCAAGACCCTAGATAGTGGGAACCATCATTAGGTGATGACCTTTTGATCCTAGGTGGAAAAATTGAAGCACTTAATCCCAAGTAAATCCTGTTTCTGGATCACCTTTATGAAGAACACAAATAGAGGAACGAAGACAAGTTACATAGGTTTTACCAGCCTGATCCATTAAACTGCAGACATGTGGATAAAGTGAAAAAAAAAAGGAAAGAAAAGGATCTATCACTAACAGAGCAGAAAACTTCAGTTTCTTTCAAATAAAAGGAATCCCTTCTACACAAAAGGGCCAGAAGAAGAATAAAACATAGTTTGCTTTCCAGAAAATCACCACTGTTTGCATGCAATGATAATGCTTCATAGAATTCAAAGGCAATGTTAGACAAATCACATGGCTGCTTATCAAGTTAAGATGTATCAAATATTATGTTGATAATATCCCAGTAAACTTGATCATTTTTCATTTACTTTTTTTCAAATAATTGATTTAAAGAACTAACCTAGTAATGCATAGAGGGCTGCAACAAAACCCTGTGCAAAAACCAAAGAAGAGTCAGTAAAAGATAAATTTGAAAGTACCAATATCCACAGTAACAGATTTTTAATGGCAATGGTAGGCTTCTAATAGCATACAAGGGATACAGATCTTACCACACCATACCCAAAAATTTCTAATGGAGAAGGTTTGATGTCCTCAAGGATTGCCTCAGCTTCCTGCAATCAATTCAAGGTTAAAAAAGTAATACATATAAGTCTATGTGTTCCAGACGTGTTCAAGGTCTAGAACTACGAAAAAAATGTTCACTGGTGTTAGGAAATTATAAGGTAATCCAACCACAGAGTACACAATCTGGATGGAATTCATCTTTGCAATCGGAGCAAAGGTCTTAGTGTAATCAATCCCATAAGTCTATGTGTAGCTTTTAGCCACAATTCATGCCTTATCTCTCTACAGTACCATCAGCTTTATATTTTACCTAGAGGTTTCTTCCCTCTAGGTAACTCGACCATCTTCCAAGTGTTATTCTTCATGAGGTCATTCATTTCATCTACTATAGCTGCTCGCCACTCAGGTATTAACAATGCTTTATTATGACTGCAAGGAACAGACACAGAAGAAAGAGTAGAGATAAAAGAACAATATGATGGAAACAAGGAATAAGAAACAATGTAAGAAATGGGATATCAAGTAAAGGGATGAGTCAAAATTTTTCCTTTCCTAAGGGCTATAGGAACATCAAAGTCATCAACAGCGATATCAACTATAGTATCCAAAGAGGAAGAAGGATCAATACCTGGTTGATCTATACCTAGGAGTCCAAATTGGGTATGGGGAGTGTCATCAATAGTCCCCATGCCAATTCTCTTCCTAGCCCTTCTGGTATACACTTGTAATGGCTTAAGAAATAGGGAATCAAAGGAATGATTATATGAATTGGAAGCAGCATAGAAGATGACCACTCTACCATACAACTCTCCCCTTGAAGAGAGGTAGAAAACTAGGTTGAGATTCAATGAAGGTAACATCAATTGCAGGCTGCATAGATATCATACAATTTTATGATAATGGATCAATCAGAGTCCAACACATATTATATAGAATTTTACAAATTAATACATGCATAAAGCCATTATTTTGTTATTTTCAATTCAAGTCCAAGGCACAAAACATATGCAACCATTATTTTTTAATTATTATATCAATTATTTTTTTATTTCTTTTTATTTTTACTTTTTAACATTAACGAAAAATTCAACTAAATATTAAATTCCCAAATGTTTGGTGAATAATATTTTTATTTTTATAAACAATAAATATTTTTTAAATTCTATTAAAATTTATAAGATGTATATCATATGAAAATTAATAATTTTTAATTACTACAATACATACTCCATTATTAATATTTGTATTTCTATAATTTTTCTGAAATAAAAATCATTTTCAGATATAAATGTAGATTAGTGGATTTGATAGATTCAACTTAATATTATATACTCGAATATTTTTTAAACAATGTTTTTATTTTTGAAAATAATAAATATGTTGTTATTTAATTTAAGTTAAAATAATAATTAATAATTTATAAAAAATACATAAAAATTTTAAGATACTTATCATGTGAAAATTTATAAACTTTAATTACTAAAATAATTATTCTATTATTAATACTTTTTGTATAAATTTCTTGAGATTAACAATCATTTGTTGACATAAATGTGAATTTGATAGATTATTTATTCCAATAGTTTATAAAATATTAAATTTGAATATTACTTTTTTAATATTTAGTCAAAGTTGTTGAATATAAACATATGTTATTTGTTTGGATTGCATGTAGACACAAAATTTAATAAAAGTTACTATATTTAATTTATTATCACAAGAAGCAATGTGGTTCAGTGGCTTAAAAGCGCATTTAAGATTTGGAAGTAGGGTGACAGGGGTTTGAATCATGTTGGAAGCATTTTTTAATAGAGAGGCACTAGATGCAGTATAGTATCGATGCATATTGGTCTTCTATCGGTGTGTATTGGCCCGATACAATGTGGTACACATATCGGCCCAATATGCACAACTCAAGAGATACACCCTTGTTTTTAGCATATCATATATCCACACACACCGATACCAATACAATACACCCCGTATCTAAGGGTATTGTATCGATATTTTAATCCTTGATTCTAGCATTATGAAGTAAGAGAGAGAGAGAGAGGTCCCTTTACATTTTTCATAGGGGTAATTTTGTTCCACAAAAAAATCTTTTTCAGTCTTTCACTGATTTAAACATTATTTTCTAAACATTGCCAGCTTCGTCAAATTTATAGACTTAATTATTTATTTTGTAAAAGGTTCATATCTGTATGCATATGTATAAAAGCTATATACAACAAAAAGAAATAAATAGTACAAACTATGCTTTGCATTTAAAGGTAGAAATGAATTTCTTATTTATCTTGAGCAGACCAAGGTAGAAAAATATATAATATACAGAAGTAGCATATTAGCCTGTGTTGGAACTGCATCAATCTTACAAAATCAGAAAATTGAATCTATTTCATGTCCAGATCAAATAAAGAGAAAAAAACAGCAAGTGAAAAAGAATCACAATGAACACTTAATGGTCTTCATGACGTAAAAAATTACAATTTCTTCTAAGAAAGTGTGAAGAAAATTCAGTGTTGTTATTATAAATACCTCATTCAATATGGTAAGTGTAGTCTCAGGTTTCAGCTCTTTAATGCGGAGATCACTTCTCACCCAAGAACGAAAGCCACCTTGAACCAGGTATGTTCTCTGTCATACAAGAACAAAGTCAAATAGCTATAGATTACAATGAGCTTTCCAGTTCTATAAGACCTGAAAACAAGTTAGCTGTTGGGGTTTAAAAAACTTTTCATTTGACAGGACACGCAGACAAATATGTTACATACACCGCAAGTTTGCATTACCTAACTAATGTTTTCAACCCATGGTTTAACCAGCTAGTTGGACTAATCAACCCATCACCAAACCAGAAATCCAGGTCACATTACCACCAAACCGCTTGCATGCAACAAAAAGAAAAAAAAAAAGAAAAAACATTGACCCGATCAATGATCCGGTGATCCATCTAGTGAACCACTGAACCTTTTGACACAGTCAGCAGGTCATGGGTTATATATCAGTTCACTTTTCTTTTTCTTTTTTTTTTGTATTTTTATCCATTTCCACCATTAATAAAAAATTCATTTATCACAGTTATTTTTGTTTAATATGATGAATATATACTATTAGAGATATGCCCATTTTCTACAAATTTTTGTACTTTTATGTATTTTGTATTTTTATTATTTAGTTGTGATGTCTATTAGTATTTAGAAGCTTGGTATTAATTGAGATTTCATATTTGTGACATACACATCTGAATTTGGTTCAGCAGGGTCAAAAAACCGGTTCCCAATAAAAATTGCAAAATAAAATTAAAAACATAAAACTAGCCAAAAAAACAAACAGAGAAAGGAAACACACAGAAAATTTGAAAAGAAAATACATTCATTCTTCGTTTGACAAGAATCATAACATGACTGAGAGATTGAGTCCATATTTCCAACATTAGATGGATCAAGGATGAATAAAGTACCATTATCAAGAATGAAGGTAGCCTCACTTTGTAATATGATAACATCAAGATTTCTAGCCACAAATCCCGCCTTCCAAAATTTCTTGCAAAGGGAACTTTTTTTGGATATTCAAGCAATATTTGCTTATATTAGGTCTTTAGAAGATTGTGGTAAATAAAAAATTATAAAGGAAAGAAATGATATTCTATTTTCTAAGCATATAAACATCATCAGGTGGCTCAGTTATGGAGAAGAAAATCCATCATTTTTTGGTATTTTAAGAAAAAAAAATCTACCTATCCTCATAATATATTTGAGTGTTGTTATCCTCATAATATATCTACTTTTTCAGAGACTTATTTCTTTTTTTCTCTGTTTGCAAGAGTTGCTTCTTTTCTTAGATGGAGCCCAATGGGTGTAGGTAATACTTGCCTTAACCCCAAATTTCCTCAATGATCTTGCAATGCCTTTGGAGCGAGTACCATCATAATCCATAATTAGGACCTTGGACCTGTCCTATAGGTGGGAGAACATAATGATTATGAGACATCATTTGTAAATCTAAATACAAGCATCCATATCTTCAAGAGCAAGAATCCACATATAAATGATGAGCTACATACTCTAACAATCTTTAAGTTTCGAATGACAGCAGCAACTATGGCATCATCAAGCTCTTTTCCACTCTTCACTAACTTCCTTTCAGAACCACCAATCTGAAGATTCAACAATAAATGAACTCAGAACAATAAAAAAAACATAAATAAACTCCATATAAGACAGCTTCTCTTTTTTTCTCTTAAATCGATTGTAAGTTCATTAAGAAAATAGATATACTTAGGTGGCATGAGGAGTAAGGATATAAATGCAATTCTGGGGTGTGTGCGTGTGTGTATAGAGAGAGAGAGATTAAGAAAGCAACTCATCAGTCAATTTCATGAGTTTTCTGTTCTTTCTGGTTCTACGCTTCTCTTTTCTGTTTTCTCTGATATTCAGCAGATCCACTGTCGGAACATGGTAGAATAGCAGGTTTAAAGCCTAAGTTCTACAAGACACAATTCCACATGGAAAGTTAGTCTCCTGTATTTTGAGCTCCATTGTGCCTCACATTAGTGTTCCCATGAGAAGACTAAGGACTGCCTATGAGATGTATTCCTATTTGAAAAAGGTTTATCATTAGTCCAATATGTCACGGCAATACCAGATTAAATTTGAAATCTTTGCCTATTGCCAGGGGGACAAAAAGATACAAGAATACTATGCAAGCTTTATTGATCTCTAAGCTGAATATGAACTAGATCATATTGAACCATCTGATCCCGTTGAATGTGTCAAGTATTTATAGAAACATTTTGAAAATAGAAAAGTGAACTAGTTTCTCATGAGGTTAAGACCTGAGTATGAAATAATCAGGTCAAATATTTTGAGTAGAGGAACTCTTTCAGACTTAGACTCTGTGATGGGAGAGTTGTTGAGGGAAGAAACTAGACTCCTAACTGCTGCAAACATAGAAGGGAAAAATCCTAATTCAGGGATTGATACTGTTTTTCTTGCACGAGGGAATAAAAAATCTGGTGGAAAAGACCCTTCTAAAACTCAATGCTATGAATGTAAGGGATATGGACATATAGCTTCTCATTGCAAAAAGAAGAATGTCTACACCTATTGCAAACAACACGGACATATCATTCCAGATTGCCCAATTCGTCCACCCAAGGGACCCATGAAGAAGAATCAGCCATGAGCTTATCAGGCGTCTAAGGGACGAGTGTCTAATACCCCTATTGCCAAGGGAGAATCCTCTGCTTCCATGAATAAGGAAGAGAGACAACAACTGGTATTCTCTACTATCTCATTTGCCTTTTCTACTATTGACCTATCTGGTGAGTTCTCCGGTTATTGCACTTCTCCCTCTCACGTTTGGATAATTGATTTTGGTGCTACAAATCATATGACTGGAGCCTATCCTGAACCCTCAAACAGACTGTCTGAGACCAACCAGAGACATATTGTCACTACTAATGGTGAGAAACTTGACATCATTGGGAGTGATGACTTGTGTATCAAACTTTCCCCCTCAAACTCCTTGCCCCTTGATAAAACTTTCCTTGTTCCTAAACTTATTGCCAACCTTATTTCAGTTGATCAACTAGTTGATGAAGATCACATTTTAACCTTTTCCTCTGATGGTTGTTTGATTCAGGGCCAATGCACTAGGAAGGTGAAAGGGAAGGGGTGTAGGATGGGCCGCTTGTTTGCATTGGAGTTTGAGAAATCTCAACCAGCATCATCCTCTGCTTATTTGAGCTCTTCTACATCGAGTCCTGTTTTTTAGTCAGAAAAACTATGTCTGGGATTTGTGGCATAAATGCTTGGGCCACCCAAATTTTAAAAAACTTAAATACTTATTTGAGTATGGTTTTATTAAAACTAAAGTTCCTTTTATGAAATCCTTTGATACATCTTGTGTTTCTTGTTGTTTGAGTAAGAGTCATAACTAACCGTTCATTCACCGACTTTAACATACTACTTTGCCATTTGAAATTATTCATAGTGATGTTTGGACTTCATCTGTTGTTTCTTGGATGGGATACAAGTATTTTGTGTTATTCATTGATGACTGTACCAGGTACACTTGGATCTACTTTCTCAAACCCAAATCGGAAGTTTTTCCAACCTTTCGGTTATTTCATAACATGGTTCGAGTTCATTTCCAAGCGAATGTGCAGACCTTACGCTCAGACTCGGGGGGAGAATACAGTGACGGAGAATTTTTGGCTTATCTGAAACATCATGACATACGAGTCCAATGATGTTGTCCAAACACTCCTCAACAAAATGGTGTTGCAGAAAGAAAGAATGGCCACATTCTCGGTGTTGTAAGGACTCTTCTACAAGAATCACATGCGCCTCCCACATTCTAGGTAGAGGCCAATAGCATGCCAGCTAACATATCTCCTCATCAAAAGATGTTTGGATCCCCCCTAGATCTTTCCCATCTTCATGTCTTTAGGTGTCTATGCTCTGTTCATCTCCCTCCTCGTGAACGCTCAAACCTTTCAGCTCAATCTATCATGTGCGCTTTTATGGGATATAGCCCTAACCACAAGGGATTCCTTTGTTACAATCCCTCAGCACATCATATTCGTATTTCTCAAAATGTGATTTTTCTTGAGCATATCTCCTTTTTTTTTAGGAATTGCCAAGTTATCTGCACCCTCTATTTCAGTTTTGCATGATTTTGAACCACAAGATACTCCACCGTCCACTGCTGAGAAGGATCTTCTCGTCTTCTCTCGCAAGCGGGTTCATGGTCCAGCTCCTACGCCTACAACCCCTCTTCCTCTTAGTCCAAATCCCTCGCCCATCACAGACAACCCTGTAAGTGATGCCCCAGTTTCAGATTCCTCAATTATTTCTCCTGTACCTTTACGTCGTTCTACTCGTATCTCTAGACCACTTGATCGCTATGGTTTTCCTTCAAACCATAGCTCATTCTCTGCTGTTATGACCTCTACAGATATTCCCAGTTCTTACCAGCAGGCTCGTAGCAGCCCTCAGTGAAAAGATGCCATGGATGCAGAGATTCAAGCTTTGCATGAGAATGACACCTAGGACCTTGTCCCATCACCTTCAGATGGCTCTATTATTGGGAGCAAATGGGTCTATTCCATCAAGCTGAAATCTAATGGGTTTTTGGACCGTTACAAAGCCAGGCTGGTGGCATAGGGATATACGCATGAATATGGCATTGACTATGAGGAGACATTTGCTCCAGTGGCCAAGATTACTACAGTCCGTGTTCTTTTATCCCTCTCTGTTGCACACTCTTGGACTATCTTTCAACCGGATGTAAAAAATGCCTTTTTACATGGGCATCTAAAGGAAACAGCATATATGAAACCTCCTCCCGGGTACTATAGTGATCTCTCCCTCGTCTGTCGGCTAAAGAAGTCCCTCTACGGGCTCAAGCAAGCCCCACAAGCTTGGTTTGAAAAATTCAGAGATGTTGTTGTGCAAGCTAGATATAGCCAAAGTGCATCAGACTACTCTCTCTTTGTCCGGAAAAGACCCCAGGGCCTTACCATTCTCTTACTATATGTGGATGACATATTGTTGACTGGAGATGATATAGAAGGAATTCAGGACCTCAAGTCTCTTCTCCACAGATCCTTTCACATGAAAGATCTCAACCCTCTTAACTATTTCTTGGGACTTGAAGTTCAACAGAGCTCCCAGGGTTATTTTGTTTGCCAACACAAGTATGCCTTTGATCTTGTTAAGTTGGTCAACCTCACTGATGGTAAACGAGTTGATACTCCCTTGGAGCTGAATGTCAAATTATCCAAATCAGAAGGCTCCCAGCTTCCTGATGCTTCCCTCTATTAGCAACTTGTAGGGTCTCTCATCTATTTGACCATGACTCGTCTTGACATCTCACATGCAATTCAAGTTGTTAGTAAGTTTGTCTCTGCCCCTCGTCAACCTCATTTGACTGCAGTGCATCGAATCATCCGCTATGTTCGGGGCTCTTTATCACAAGGTTTTTTCTTCTCTTCATCTTCTTCTCTCCAACTAAAGGCCTATGCTGATGTAGATTGGGCTGGATGCCCTGACACACGCCGCTCCACTACCGGGTGCTGTGTCTTCATGGGTGACTCTCTAATATCATGGAAATGCAAGAAACAACAGACTGTTTCCAAGTCCTCTACGAAAGCAAAGTACAGGGCAATGTCATCTGTTTGTAGTGAAGTTGTTTGGCTTCAATCTTTATTTCAAGAGTTGGGTCATTCCTCTCCTACGCCCATTCCTCTGCATGCGGACAACACTAGTGCTATTAAGATTGCCTCTAATCCTGTCTTTCATGAAAGGACAAAGCATATTGAGGTGGACTACCACTTTATCCTCAACCTATTTCTTGCAAACTCTATCTCTCTCCCTCATGTTGCCTCTGATATACAAGTTGCTGACATCTTCACAAAGGCTATGATGAGGTCCAGACACTTATTTCTAGTAAGCAAATTAATGCACATGCCTCTGCATCAGTTTGAGGGGGAGTGTGAAGAAACTCCTTGATGTACCATTTTACTGTAGTTCTTATTGTATTGTTTCTCTTATTTTATTATTATTTTCTCTTCAGCCCTGCAAGGGCCTCTCTGTAAATTCTCTGATTTTTGTTGCCCTACAAGGGCCTCTTTGTAAATTCTTTAATTTCATTTTCTATATAAAGGACTCTTGGGGTAGGGTCGAGGTATCCATTCTTCATCCCCAGAATTTTGTATTCTGCTCTGGGTCTGTTGACACAAGATCTACTACTGGTTGGTGTGTTCTCTTTTTGGTAATTTCTCATCTCCTAAAAATGTAAGAAACAATAGACAGTATCTCATTCATCTACTAAGAAGAATACCAGGCCATATCTTCAATTTGTAGTGAGATTATAAGGCCTTGTTGCAAGACTTGGCCATGGATCATTTCCTTATTTGCTAATAACACAAGTGCCATCAAGATTTCTGTTGGAAAACGTGGGGTGTTGGAAAACATGGGGTTACTGGGGCAGATCTATATTTGGTAGTTGTGTAAAAATAGAATTGTATATATTCCTAGGATTGTGGAAGGATTGATTTAGAAAGTTTTTCTTTCTATTCTTATACTTTCTATTTTTTTCTTTCTATTTTTTCTACTTTCTATTTTCTTTTCTTTCTTTTTTTTTTCTTCT